TGGGGATGGCGGACAGATAGATGAGTTTGTGTAACAAATTTATAGACAAACGGACACGTTTGTGGAAGGATAAATTTTAGGTAAAATCCTTAATTTGGTTCATAAATTATTATATGAACTTTCAATTTGATCTCTAAATTAAAAAAATTCTTGATTTGATTTCTGAATTATTGTACGAACCCCCAATTTGATATATACTGTTTATCAATTTATCTCAAATTGATCATTTTATACAAAAAAAAGCCAATATGTCTTGTTATTAATGTGGCACATGATTATTAAGTTACTATTTTTTACTGTTAAATAACAGATACATCAATTATTTTTTGTATGAAATGACGAGTTTGTGGTTAAATTAGTAAATAGTATGGATGAAATCGGGGTCCATGCAATAGTTTAATGACCAAATCAGGAATATTTTTATTTTAGGGACCAAATCAAAGATCTATATAATAATTTAGTGACCAAATTAAAGTTTTAACTTAAATTTTATGCATGGACAAACGAAAAGGATATGAGATATCTGAACATCCAATCGGAAGGACAAATGGACAAGCAGCTGAATGGACATTTAATCTAACTGACAAACACATACTAACTCTACACCGTAAACAATTTATCTACCTACGGTATCAGAATGAGAACATATCCCAAAATGAGAACACTCCAACTAACGTATCCAACCGGGGACCAATTTGAACCACATCCATCATATTTTATTAAAACCATGAATTTCACTCCCATGAAGGAAAAAACTCAATAAAGATTTCATCCGTAACATGTTAAAAAAGAATTTATTTAATTTGTGTTTTTAAAGTGCATGTTAAATGTGTGTTAATTATTTTTTTTTACATTTAATTTTTATGAAAAAATTACAAAAATTGACTTTATTTTTATTATCAACTTCACATACATATTTTTTTATTAAACAATTAACAAAATTAGAGTTACTTTTTATTTTTACAATATAATTAATTACAAAAATATGTCATAAATACAATCATAATCTATATTTTTTAAGTTGAAGTTAAAAATTCTCATTAATGAATACAAGCCAAAGGTTCTATTCTATTAATTTTTCTAGTAAAAGTTTATGAGACTTTTAAAAATTTTTAAATTTAAATTATTATTAATAATTAATCTTTATATTTGAATACAAGCCAAAGGTTCTATTCTATTAATTTTTCTAGTAAAAGTTTATGAGACTTTTAAAAATTGTTAAATTTAAATCATTATTAATAATTAATCTTTATATTTATATATCATTTACACTTACAATTTTATTTTAATGTGAGATCCAAAGTGTCACAAATTTATATAATAGCATTTGCAAGCAAGGGAGGAAGAACACGTGCAGTTACGACATTTTCCCGAAGGTCGAAGCTTTAAGGTAAGATTTCATTTTAACTGCGCAAACAGCATAGCATAGTTTTTAATTAGAAGAAAAACTAGGAGACCTTGCTGTAAAACTTAGTGTTGGACTTAATTAATGGAAAAACTCGAGTATTTCGTGGGTTCTCTCGCATCACTCCCTAACAGTCATTCAAGATCAGAAATGCTCTGATAGCATGTAAATTCAATGGAAAAAAAAAAAAAAAGAAAAAGGGAAAAACAAGAAGGGGGTTTTTTTAACTTGTTTCTTTTAAAAGTTTTGAAAAAATAAAAAATAACATTTAATTTATTAACTGTTTAATTAAACTTACTTACGTTGTATTAACTCTAAGATTAATATCTGTTTTTACATTTTTTTATATAAATTTATTAAAAAAAATACCTTTAACTTATACCCTAAAAAGCACATATTAAAAAAATCCAAATAAGAAATGAAGAGCAGAACACTTGCTTATTTCATTGAAACTCAAAACAGACTTAAAAGTTGAAAAATTAAAACTCGGATATGTGTATACAGAGATCCTTACTCCAAGTCAAAACATAACAAAAGAATAAAACTCATATGGATAACTAAAGAAGACTAAATTACATAAAACAACCGAACTAATTGACTTCAGTTTAGCAACAACGATGCCTTGCAGCATGCTTCAAGCTGGCTGCATCTTCATCTTCAAAAAGTGGTCTATAGCTTTGCTGTCGTGGTTACTACCTACCATAAAATCGATCAAACAGCCATGAAAACATTTCATATTAGCTCGTGCTAGTGCATATTATCAGATCATGTGAAATAAGATTAATAAAAAAATAGTTTTTTATGAATTATTTAGTTTTAATGTTGATGATCTACTTTTAATTAAATTATGAAATATTAATTTCAAATCATATACAAGTTAATTTGGGGATACTTTGGCCACTAAATGACAAAAATCCAGCTGGGCAAAAAGGAGTTAAAAAGCCAACGTGAGCAGAAATGACAGATTTTCTTTTCATAGCTTGTCCTTGTCGCCCACTAAACATTAATCGAGAGGCCTAATTAAAATCATTAAGATTAAATCAACAGCAACAGGGACAAACATTAGATGACATATAAAAGATTAATTTAGCTAAATATGCGTGTGCATGAATATGAAAATCAGATTTAATTCATAACTCTCTTTATTGGCGTGTAAACGTCAGGCAAACCAAGAAAAATAAAAATCCGCCTCTAATCCCTCAGTTGAAATCCAATAAATGAATATTAATATACTCTACAGTGTACACATTTCCACACACTATAGAGTTTGTATCCTAAATGATATTAGTACAAGTTGTATAATCTATATGTTCACGT